ATCAGAAGCAGCTGCCAGGCTCCACTGTGCTGTAGAACAAGGCAGTGAAGGAAGAGCACATCTTGCCCCAGTCTGGTTTACAACTTTTAACTTTGGCCTTCACTCACCTCCAGCAGCTCCTCGTCCTTCCAAGGCTGAGCAGGCAACAACTACTTAAATTTATCTCCTTTTTAAAAAACCCTGTGCTGGAAACTTCGGAGAGGGATTCACTAATCCAAAGATAGGGGCTCTGTGGGGTTTTTTTAAAGAAATGACAATTTCAGGACTTCAATAATAAATCTGAATCTTTTCCTTTTATAAATAAATGGTTTTCATCTAGCTTCCTTTTTTATATAAGTCTTGCCAGCAGAGGATAACACAAGCATGTTACCATATGGCACGCCCACCAGAACTATCTTTAATTTTTTTTTTCCTTGGAAATGTAAGCTAAACTACCTGCAACTATGCTGTAATTTGCTTTTAGAGAGAACTTAGCAAGCAGTGGTTTTTTTGGAACTGGAGATATTTCCTAGTCCAATTCCCATTTTTAAAGACTCGGGACAACTTATTCAGCTGTTGGAGAGGTTTACAAAGTCTTTGCAGAAAGGAAGAAACGGATCAGAAGGAGAAAACCGCAGCTCTGAAAATAACAATTGCTGTCAAACCCCAGTTGTATTAATTCAGTGACTCGCCTCACAAGACAGTCTTTTTATAGTGTTCCCCATAAGCAGAGAAGACAATGGCTCCCCTTGATTTTATTTTCCCCCCTCCCATGCAGCTTTATATATCTCTGGCCCTAGCAACAGGGAAGAATAGCCACGGATTTGTCAGCGGACAAGGGGTTATCCCAGCACAATCCCCCTGCTCTGGGGCAGCGGGAGGGCACACAGCTCCTGGCACCGTGCAAAAAACACAAGGGGGTTTGCAGCTCAAAATGCACGCTGGCGCTGTTAATTAACCTGCAGACGTCCACGCACGCTATCTTGGAATAACACTTATCAAGCCAAAAGTCAAGTCTGACAAAAGGTCATGCTAACTTTCTGGATCTCTAAGAAAGAAGCCGGCCAACCAAAAAAACCCACCAAAACTCCGTGTCAGCATCACACCAAGTTTCCCTGGTCACCTCGAGGCCTAGCAGGCATATTTTCAACTTTTTTATTTTTTTAAACCCATTTCTAGACTACAGATGAGCAAATTAGGTGCCATCTACAGCCAACAACAGCTGAGGCAGCCTTGCCAACATTTCGAGCTTTGCCGTGCACTAACTCCAGTCTCCACTTCTGTGTTTCATCCAGAAGGATAACGTGGAAAAATGGAGGTGGGGGGTAAAGATTTCCTGCCCTAGGTTTCAAAAAAAAAGGGTCTGAAAAAAGAAACAAGTATCTCATTATTGCCTGTGACAGAGGGTGGAGGGTTTCACGCTTTTCCATCCCCAGCTCGCCAAATGCCACGGAGAGGGAGGCCCTCTAATTTGCAAACCAGACTCCCAGGACACTCGGAATCCCGTCCCCCCCTTCCCCATCCACCGTGGCAGCTGAGAATTACGAAGGAGAGGGACAGCTGGGCTCCTCATTAGGAGCACGGAGCCTCCATCCGCGGACCATTATCTGCACCCACCTCAATCCCTCCGGGAGCACGGCAGGCCAGCGGGATGGGGACGGCAGAGTTCAAAGATAAACACAAGGGAGAGACTGAGGAGGAAGCCAGCCGCCAGGGTTATTTGTCTCCATGAGAACACAACTTACTAGGACACTCCAGCTCTGAGATAAAGTCTCTTCTCCAAGCCCAGGCCACGTTTACATCTGCTGGTTATCAGTGTAAGCCTCCAACAACTGCCAGATATTCCGGCGGCAGTGCCAGGGAACCCGGAATGTGCGGGAGCACTCAGCGGGGACAAGGCCCTAATGGAGCTTGGCTCTTCCGGGGTGCCTTTTCCAGCTGCCTCGATCGCCCTTCTCTCCCTAGAGCGCATCTTCGCCTTAATTAATAGGTCACTGAACCGGTTTATGTTAATTGTCACAAGTACCCCGTCTTTGTTTCCAAGGGGAGGGACCAAAGTTCATTCGGTTCTGCCCCACGAAGGAAAATTTCAAGAAGAGGGGCTCCGCTCGCAGCCGAGTCGCCAGCGGCTCCCGAGGGAGCTTTTCCCTGCCGCAGTAAAGCCGGGCCAGGTCCTCACCGGGGCTCCCCCAGCCCGGGAGCCCCGCCCGCCCCATCACCTGCACCGGGGCTCACTTCCACACAGCTGCGCCACACAACGCCACGGCACCAGCCTCTGCCCGCCAGAAACCAGAAACCCGCATGAAAACATCACAAAACCGCGGGCAGACCCCTCGGGCGGGTGTTTGTCCCCGACCCCGCTCTCGCCCAGCCAGCGACACCCCTCCGCCGGGGAGGTCCCCGGGGCTGGAGATCCGTGGCTGTTTTCAAACTCGCATCCGTAAGGGGAAGCCGCACGGGAAGGGGAAGCCCGGCTCGCTCGCTCGCCCGCCCTCCAAACGCCCTCACGGCGCGGCCGCGGCGGCCCCGCCGCTCCCTGCCGGCGGAGCGGGCCGGCCGCTCCCGGGGGGGCCGGGGCACAAAGGGGAGAGAGAGGGGAGCGGACGGGGCGAGCGCCAGGCCGGCGGGGAGCGGCGGGCAGCGATCTCCCGGGCGGGCGGCGGCCGCGGCCGCTCGGCGGGCTGTGCCGTGCTGCCCTGCCCGACGGGACGGCGCAGAGCAAGAGGAAGGGACCCCCCAAACCCCGCGGGTACTCACAACAAGAAGCTCATGGCGATGGCGGAGGAGCGGGACCGGCGGCTGCCTGGGCTCGGCGCGGCTCGGCTCCCAATGGCAGCAGCGGCGGCGGCGGAGGGCGGGCGGCTGCGGGAGAGCGCCGCGGGGCGGGGACACGGCCCGCCCGGCCGCCATCGCCCCCAGCGGCCCCCGCGCCGCCTCCTCCCTCACAGCTGCGGGGCTCCGGCATGGCCGCGCTCCCCTCGCAGCCGTGGGGCTCCCCCTCAAGGAGCCCTTTCGTGTCCCCGGGCACGGCCATCCCACTCGAGCGTCCCCTCACAGCCATTGCCGCCGTGCCGGCCCCTCAGAGAAGCCCGTGTGGGTGCCCACAGACACCTCCATGGAAACGGGCACCCCCCGAGCCCCCCTTCTCCCCTCAGGACAAAGGGGGCCGGGTACCGGCCCGCAGGTCACCACCAGGAGAAGAACAAAAAGGTATTAACGGCCCTCCTCGTCGAGCCCTTTTTTAGCAAAACGTGACCAAAGGGATTGTAATATTTCTTAGTATTTGTTAGCAATTTCTAACTGGGCTGGTGAGGGTAAGCGGCGGGCAAAGGAGGGGCACCCCTCAGGTGACGCTATGGGCGGCTGAGGTAAAAAGAAACCTAAACTTCTGAGGTAAAAACACTGCAGTTTTTTTGAGAAACCCTTGGCAGGCAGATACAGTCACATCCCAGTGCTCTTTGTGGCAGAAATTGCAGTCCCAGGATATAATTTTCACACAAAAATCTGGCTCTGTTTAGGTCAGTAAGAAGCCAGATTTCGGAGAGGGCGCAGCATGACCTCCAGGAATTCCCTCCTGCCGCAAGGGGAATTGGCCATCCCAAAAACCTCACACTGCTGCAGGTAGGCCAGAGGAAAACCTGATGACTTTCAGATTTATCAGGAAAAATTCGGCACATCGAAACAGGCTACAACCCCGCACAACACTAACTTTCCATCTGGCACGTCAGGGGTTTCAGCTCTAACGCCTTAGGTGGCCACACTGACAGTCATCTGCTTCCCTCACATTTTTAAATGCTGAAACTGCATTTTCCACTCTCCGTCCTTCAGACTAAGTCAAAATGCCAGGTCAGTGCATTTCTAAGTAAATTAAAACTGCACTGTTGTTTTTAGGGCACCTTTAAAACCCAGCGTGTTACTGGGCAGCAATGGTGTAATTAACAAGCATTTCACAACGTTCGCAGTTCTCCTTTTGGCTGCATTAGCCAAAAGCCTTGAATGGCTCCCGGAGCACTTTGTCACAGATGCTGTCAGACTTAAGCTGGCCACGTAAATCAAACAGAAATACACCACTGATCTTTCTGGCACATTTCTGCTGGCACACGAATAACCTCCGCTCCCACCCCTACGCTTCCTCCTACCCACAGAACGTCTCATTTTTTAGCGGCAAGTTAAAATTAAACCTCGGTTGCTGCAGGAGGAAGCACTTGGCCAGCAGAGACGCTTATGTAACGTGCAGGCTTTATGTCTCACATGAATATTGGGCTGGTGGGGATGGCTGAGGGTCACACGAAGGGCTCTCCTCGGCCCGAGGGGCTGGCAGGGAGCTGCAGCCTCGCCTCTGTCATCTCCCTTTATCCAGCGCGCTGCAGAGCCTCGGGAATTCCTCCGGAAGGGCCCTCGGGCTGGCAAAGTGGTCCTGGGCTGAAGTTCTTGGCTTTTCAGCACAGCTCAGTAAACACAGAGGGATCCAGCTGAAAGGGGCGTAAAAAAAATGAGATCGCAAAACTGAGCATGTATATAGAATCGGGAATAAAAAAAAAAAAAAGGGAAACAACATTTTGTTTTGAAAAAGAACACGGCGTATAAATAATTTTGGGAAATACTACCACAGAACAGAAGGTCAATTTTTCTTGAGAGCAGATGACAGAGAGGGGTAAGGAGTGTTTCCCAGTGTAACCACTTGTCTTAGCATCACATCCGATGATTTTCTGATCGTCATTTTTAGTCTGATCAGACTAAAGAATAGCTGGTGTTCCTAACAACAAGCTGTTTAACATTCTTTAAGAAGAAGGCATCCTGCCAGGTGGATGAATTCTCCAAGGCAGATAAATTCTTGGTCCACAGCAGTATGGAGGCGTCTCCTGAGATGTGCTGTTTTTACAGAGGCACATTCCCTCTCCTAAGGCAACTTCACTCCACAGCAGTTCTGTCGAGTGAATAAATGCAAATTCTCCTGTCCTAGGATGACCTTTATATTCTCCCATAGGTGCAGAGACTGATCTGACACGTAACTAGGGAAGCTCTGAGATTCCATGGAAACCTCCGTGCCAGCGGTTGCCCAACAACACGGTGCCCTCTAAAGGTAACTCTCACAAACCTGACAAGCTGCCAGACAGGCAGCAGTGGGTGTTTTTTCCTGTACTTGGGAAGCAAGCAAGCCAATGAAAGGAAAAATGGGTGGAAGATGTGCATCCCTTCAAGAGATTTTTCCCTGCAGCCTGCTTGGCTCACAGGAGAACAATGCCCCTAACATTCCCTCGGTCCCTAAGATTTGGGGATCTGCTTATTCGGTTAAGGTGAAAGCACAAAAGCCAATCCAGATAGAGACAAGTGCTCAAGATGAATTCCTATGGTTATCTTGATTTTTTTTTTTCTCCTACAACATTTGCCTGCTTATTTAAAGAAGGTTTTGAAGATAAACCTGCCAAGTAGGCCAGGAAAGACTGGAATGTGAACCACTTGGGCACCGAGGTCAGCATTCCTTTGCAAATGTGCATAAAACGTGCTGGAGAACCCAGGATTGTGTTTTGGGTTTGATAGTCTGCAGCAGCTTGAAATTGCAACTCATACTTGCAATTTCAGGCTACAGCTGCAGGGTGCTGGGAAAGGGAGGAGTATCCTGGCTGTCGTGGCTCTCCTGGTCTTCCTGACCAAGCTGGGGTCCTGCTGGGCCTGGCCCATCTTCCTCCTGGATACCTGCCTGAATACCCTGGATCTGAGCCTCCACATTCCCTCCCTGGGTTCCCTCGCCGTTGGGGTTTGGGATTCCAGCTTGCCTTTTCCTACTCATTTTGCTTCATCCTAAAAATTTTGTCTGGGCTCAGCAGGACGCACCTTCCTCATGTGTGCACTTAGGAGAGGCCAGTGCCACCTCTTTCCCCCTGATCTCTCTTGGGTGCAGCAATGACAGCAGGACTGCCTTCCCAGACCACCTGGAAGGGGAATATTCTTCACCAACAGGTTCTGCCTGTTGAGACCTTCCAGCAGGGATGGGAGTGAGGGGCAGAAAATCATCTCTCCTGGAAAATCAGTCTCCAGGGGAGGGCTGTAAAAGGCTTGTCAGTGATGAAGCCCCGCCTAAAACTTAGTATTGCAAGAATCCATCTGTGCCTTGGGCTCATCCCCCAGAAGGGATTCCTCCCCTCTGCCCTGCTCATTCCAGGTGAGACCCCACCTGGAATGCTGCATCCAGCCCTGGGGTCCTCGGCACTGAGAGGACATCGGCCTGTTGGAGCAAGTCCAGAGGGGGCCACCAAGGTTAGCATAAGGAGGGAGCACCTCTGCTCTGAGGAAAAGCTGGGAGAATTAGGATGTTTTCAGCCTGGAAAAGAAAAGCTGCAGGGTGACCCAATGGCAGACTTCCAGTGCCTGAAGGGAGCCTGCAGGAGAGATGGAGACTACTTACAGGGGCCTGGAGTGACAGGAAAAGGGGGAATGGCTTCCCACTGACAGAAGGCACGATCAGATGGGATATTGGGAAGAAATCCTTCCCTGCAAGGCCCTGGCACAGACTGCCCAGATAAACTGTGGCTGTCCGATCCCTGGAAGCGTTCATGTCCAGGATGGACGGGGATTGGAGGAACCCGGTCCAGTGGTACTTGTCCCTGCCCATGGCAGGGGTGGAACAGGACGATCTTTAAGTTCCGTTCCAAGCCCGGCTGTTCTAAGCCAAGCTCTGCGACAGGACAAGCCCGCGGTGACTCCGCCCGCCCCGTCCCGGGACCCGCACCGCGGGGAGCACCCCCAGCCCCGGGGGCAGCCGGCCGTGCCCGGGAAGCGCTTCCCGTGCAGCGCCTGCCGGGAGGGAAGGAAGGAAGGAAGGAAGGAAGGTCGCAGGGGCGGAGCCGCGATCCCCGGCATGGCCGTGGTCGCCGCCGCCCGCCGCGCTCTGTCCGCGCTGCTGCTGGGCCGGGGCCCGGCGCTGCCGCCCGCGCTGCGCCTGCCCCGGCCCCGGCCCGCCCCGGCCCCGGCCCTGCTCCCGCTCCCGCTCCCGGTCCCGCTCCGCGCCGCCCTCCGCGCATACAGCCAGGTACGGCCGCGCGAAAATGGCGGGCACCGAGCCCTGCGGGAAAGCGCGGCCTCTCGCCGCTCACCCGGGGCTCTTCTCCTGTGTCCGCGCCAGGTCACCGATGCTCCGTCCCACGAAGGTCGCCTCTCAGAGGAGAAGCCCGCCTCAGCCAAGGCGGAGAGCGACACTGTCTACCTCGTCAGGGCAGAAGGATTCCCGTTCTCGTGCACCGAGGAAGATGTCCTTACCTTCTTTGATAGTACGGGTGTTCATTTTCCGGGCTGACTGTTCTGCATGCTGGATTAGCCCATTAGCTCATGCCTGCTTAACAGAAGGGAAGTTTAGAGATCGTTAGCCAGAGAAAGATGAGGTCTTATTATTGCTGCAAAATTATTCACAACTGGCACATATAAAGGGAATAGTCAACATCCAGTCTGCTGGACACTGACTAGAAGCTCATCCGTATGGTTTCTTAATTTTTTTGGGCAAGTGTTTCCCTTCTTAATCACTGTCTCCAGAGCAAAGGCAATCCAGTTCAAAGCTATGCTCTTACAGGCCATTATGGCTGGCCCAAACTCCTCCATTTTTAAGAAACCAAAATTTTTTACTGATTAGTTCAAAGTGCAGTGTTGTTTTTGACCCTGATTCATGGCTTTTACATACCCTTGTGGGGCTGATCCTCCCTACTGTCAGACGGTGCTGCATCCTCCCGGGGGCCAGATGCAAGTTTTTAAATTACTTTGCTAGCCCACCAAACTGCAGCAAGTCAGTGTGACGTTGGACTTGGTGCTGGAAATGCAGGTTCTGCCCTGTGTTCTGCATGAGCCCCCAGCCCTGCAGTCAGGACACAGAGATCCCATGTCTGATTAAGTCCTGTGTATTCCTGTGTCCCTTGGTTTCCAGGCTGTAGAATTCGAAACGGTGAGAACGGGATACACTTCCTCTTAAACAGGGATGGGAGGCGCAGGGGGGATGCCCTGATCGAGCTGGAGTCCAAGGCAGACGTGCAGAGAGCCCTGGAAAAGCACCTGAGGTACATGGGCCCACGCTACGTGAAAGGTGGGTTTGGAGTTAACAGTGCAGTGGCATTCCCCAGGGAATGAGCTCCTTGGGCAGTGCGGAGGCGCAGGGGTGGAGCTGAGCAGCGGATCAGCCACCACTGAGCCAAAATGTCCTGGGCTGGCCAGGGAGAGCAGAGGGGCAGGAGCACGGAGCATGGGCTGGGGGAGGAAATGGGATGGAGCTTTGCAGGGGAGGGAAGCTGCCTTGGGAGAGGGAGTGCCAGGAGGGCTTGCCCTGCAGTGCCCAGTGGGAAAACGCTCCGTGGCCGCCTTCCTTGCAGTTTTTGAGGTGCACGACAGCGACGTGGAGGGCTTGCTGCGGAGCCTGCGGGACGAGTCGCAGGCCATGAGCGACGGAGTGGTGCTGCTCCGAGGCCTGCCCTTCACCTCCACCGAGGAGGACATTGCAGAGTTCTTCTCAGGTACCTCAGCCTGGGCCGTGCCCTGCCTTTTCCAGGCGTTCACTTCCTCAGGTGGATGCTCTTGTTCCTCGAGGCACAAGGCAAAGCATGCGCGGCCTCAAACACCTTAAACACCTCAGGAAGTTGCTGTTCCCCAGAAGTCACTCAGGCTTTCTGAGCGCCCCGCAGAGTTTCCCTGCCCCTCTGACCTTGTGCAGGTCTAACCCAGGACCAGTACTTTCAGCACTCTGATTTGGGGCCAGGGGAAAAAAAGGAAAAATACTACCATAATAAGACAAAATTTCAAGAACATTTCTGCTCTGGATCTACTTGTTGTCCAGAAGCTGGATTCACTTACTTGAAACCTCAAATTGATTCCTTTTTTAATTAAGTCTCCTGTTAAAACGGCCTTAAAGCAAAAAAAAATGGAGTTAAAAAAAGCTACTTAGGCCAGCATGAGCAGTTGTTTCAGGACTAATTAGCTGCTCAAAAACCAGAAAAACAAGGGGAAAAAAAAAAAGGCTTTCTGAGCTATAGCACAGGTTTCTGCCACAGTCAATGCCTTTTTCTCCCCTCATCTCTAGGTCTGAAAATCACAGACATAGCTTTCATTTACCGGGGAGACAGAAGAACAGGAGAAGCTTTCGTGCAGTTTGCCACTCCGGAAATGGCAGCTAAGGCCCTGCTGCGGCACAGGGAATATATGGGAAGCAGGTAGGTGCTTCCCTGGAGTTCAGGGGGCAGGAGAGCGTGGCGTGAAGCACCGGTGGGATTTGGAGCTTCCTGCTGGGTGAAACAGCTCATCTCACACTCACAGTGCGATCCAGGGGGCAGAGGCACCTGCAGTTCTCATGGTCTGGGGCACTTGGGGGCCTCTCAGGAGGTCTCCAGATTTTCAGGTATTCCTGAAGGCATTCTCATCCCAATGAAAAGGGGTGACAGCCTCCAGAGTGGGGAGCACTAGATAGACACAGTCTGCCCAGGCCCCAGTTATTAACCTAAACAGTGGCCAGCCCAGCCCCAAACCCTGTCTGTAAGCAGCACATCCACACAGCTTTTAAATGAGCTGTGCTGAGAAAAGAAAACCCAAACAACCAAGGCTGCTTTTCCCTGCTGAGTTTTCTGACTTCAGTAATCTATAAAACTTCATCTGCACCCCACTCAATAAAAGAGTTTTCCCAATCTTACCTCTCCTCCTGCACACCAACTTCCTTCCTTTCCTTACTTCCTGTTTCCACACTGCATTTCCTTGTGTTTGTCAACCTCCCCGCCCATACTAAGAGCAAACAGCTGCTCTACAGGCAGGATTTGATTGATTAATTAATTAATAGAAGTAATAGGACTTGCCTCCTCTCGAGTAGAGCTTAATTCCAAATCTACTGTTAATTTTTTTCTGTCAGAACAAGAGCTGACCTGACTCATCCATCTGGCTCACACACCTCCATTTCCCTGTGATTAGCCATGAAGTAGAGGGGTTTTCACAATTCCTGGCAGCTGGCTCCCATATTGTTCCTGCTTTTATCCAGAGCTGGCCTCGGGGGCACTCGGGGGTGCTGAGCTGTCAGCCTGTGCACAGGGTTACTTCCCTTGCTCTGGCTGCTCCCTTCAGGAAGAGTGGAAGGCCCCCTCCCTTGGATGTCCATATTTCCTTTTCATCACACTGTTCCTTCAGTGCTCTGGAAATTGCCTGATGTAACACTGCTGGTGAAATCCCATCCATTTCAGAGGTATATGGAAATTCTTAGGGCTTCCCTGCAGTGTTTCCCGTGACCCTGTGCATCTGCCTGTTACGGGATTTGTTTTGGGGCTGGGTTGGGTGTTGGATTTGGGGAAATGAGTGCAGTTTGCAGAAGTGCAGCGAGGGAAAAGCAGCCTCAAAGAGAGCCGTGCCAGTGAAATGGATTAAATTTTCAGTGCCGTGGCAGGGCTCTCACCCCCAGAACGTGAGCAGAGCCGAGGCAGGACACAGCTGGGAGGCCCTGAGTGCCAGCTGTGCCACGTGCCGTCTCCTTTGGGCTCCAGGTACATAGAGGTGTACGTGAGCAGGAAGCACCAGATGCAGAGGCACATGGCCTACAGCAGGCAGCTGACGGCCTATTCCAGGGCGAGAAGAGAGTACGAGTCCGTCTCTGAGGACAGGGGCTGGAGAGACACCGCAGGCTCCCGTGCCGAAGGAGACATCAGTGAGTCCCTCCCTGTCCTGAGTGCTCCTCGTGTCCCCCGCGTGCCCACGGCTTTCACACGAGGGAGGGGGCACTGCAAGCACTAGTGGTGGTTTTTCCCTCCATTCCACAGAAAGCTCCAGGAACGTTTCAGAGTCTGAGGATGCCTCATCACCACCACAGCACTTTGTCCACGTGAGGGGTTTTCCTTCCCAAGCTAGTGCCCAGGACATAATAAATGTGAGTAACAGGCTGCGGATGGAGTGTGCTTCTGTCATTATCCCTGCAAACCCTCAGTTAATTGTTACAGCTGCAGGGATTGCAGGCTCTTAATTAATTAGTGTCTGTTAGTCCTCAGTGCCGTGTGGCTTTGGACAGCTGTGGCCTCGGGCACAACACGGATCTGCTCCTCTCCATGAATAAGAAAGAATTAAGCCTTGCTGGGATGTCTCAATATCCATCACTGGGCTTGAGGAGCCCTTGAGGATCTAAAACAAATTTCAGAGTAGCTGACTGCACAGAGATGTTAACAGTGTACATGGAGCTGCACTGGTGTGTACAGAACGTGGGTGCAGAGTGAGGATGTCTGTTCCTGGCAGCAGTTCCTGTGCCAGGAGCTCACCTGGACAGGTGGCTGGGGAGTGCCTCAGCTTCACGCAGATGGATCAGGGAGCTTTTTGCTGCTCAGGAGCTCAGGCTCCACCATAGGCTGGTGGGTTTTGGGAGTAAAAGCATTGCGTTTCTGGGGAATAGGGTGCACGATTGTTGTTTCTTTCTCACCAAACTCTTTTCTGCTTTTCAGTTTTTTGCTCCGCTGAGGCCCACGAGGATCTTGGTGGAATATAACTCCCATGGAGATGCCACAGGAGTGGCAGATGTACACTTTGAGAGCCACGAGGACGCAGTCGCAGCGATGGACAAGGAGGGGTCACGGATGGGTAAGTCAGGAAAAGAGAGGGGCTCCTACAGCCCTGGGACTGAGACCTCAGGGGGTTTGGCTGTGCAGAGGGATCACTTGAGTGTGGCTTTCCAGGTTGTGATGTGCCACGGGCTTTGCAGAGGGAAAAAATACAATGTAACACATACAAGTGTCTGACCTCAGCCCACCTCTCTTCCCTTCCCCAGAGTGCAGCGCCATTGAATTGTTCCTGAACAAACATCCCAAGGGACAGGAGAACTGCTAGGGACAGCGGCACAGGCGCAGGTTTGGTGAGCACACCCCTCTCTGTCCTTCCTGCTCTCTTTGTAGCAACCAAAGGGTGAAAGAGGGGCTGAAGGGAACCCCCCTGGCCTGACAGCAGCTGTCCAGTGTGATCCCACAGCCTGCACCTCCAGTCCCACTGCATGGAAAGCTCTGATGGCGTTATATTCCCTGGCAAGGAGAGGAAACATGGCTGAACATTTCCCAGAGATGGGGGCTCATAGCAATTGGTCTTTTGGATGGGGTGGGGTTTGATGTGACCATGCAAGGTGGTGGACAGCTTGTTCCATGAATTCCCCTCAGAAAGTGGGGGGTGGTGGTCACTGCTCCCCAAGCCCTGGTCCCTGCAGCAGGGAGGGCAGCCCACCCATCCTGGCTTTGTAATCCAGGCCAGGGAGAAGCCCTCGGGGCAGGTTCAGGATGTGCAGTCTGACCTCTTTCCTGCATCCCACACTTCCCTGGCAGCTCCCTCCTGTGGGTGCTTGTGCTGGGTGAATTCAACACCCCCAGCCCATGTGCCTGTGCTGCAGCCCCACCTGAGCATGTCCCACCTGCAGTCTGGGGTGTTTTACTCTTGCCAAACTGCACTATTTCAGTGTAATAGAGGATTAACTGGGAAGAAAATGCAGTGGGCAGTGGAGGAAAAAAAGAAAACATTTTTCCTCTTCCTTGTTTTTAGGCCAAGTGAACACATTCCGTGGATATGAGCGTGAAGATCAGGTCCAAGTGTCACCACTCAGCGAGGAGGACAAGCGAAGATTAGTTCAGCCTTGTGTAAGAGCTTGTAATAAATGTGATGGGCTGTGGGGAGTGGGCTGTGCACAGCACCAGCAGCAGCTGCAGTGGGAATGGCCAAGGCTCCAGGTGGAGCAGCTCAGGGCTCCAGGTGCATCAGGCTGCATTAATAAAACACCAGGATTGCCAATTAACAGCTGAGTGATCTAAGACCTCACACAGGTGCATGCTGTTGCTCTGAATCCTTTTAATGCCTCCAGCCCAAGAGGAATGGGATGGAAAGACCACTCAGAAGGCAGGATATGAATGATCAAGGTTCTTTATTGTGTGGAACAAAATTAACATCAGAAAACCTGTCCCCCCATTCCCAAGGCCAGCTGTGAGCCCACCCTGGCCTCACTCAGAGTACCTGAGCACAGAGGGAGCCAGCAGCCAGCACAGTCCTGCTCCCACCTTCCAAAAGGCCAGGACCATGGCAGCCACCAGTGCTGTGCTCTGGAGGGGCTCAGCCACCTCCCTGCTCCACGGACTTTAATCCTCCATTTCCAGTTTAATGCTCCCTCTGCATTGCCTGGGTCTTATTTTCTCCTCTGGGGATGAGTCCCACTGGGGTTGGGTGCAGGAGCTGACACTGCTGCAGGTGTACAGTAAGTACCCAAAACTATTGACACTAATTCAGTGTTTTCTCCGTCCACCTCCTGTGTCTCAGCCCTTCAGAGAACTCAGGAATTCAACTGAATTCCAGGCTTTTGGTATTGCACCACTGCTTACAACTCCCGCCACATCAGCAGGGAAATGGGTCAGGAAGGGGCAGAAGAGCAGAGAACAGTAGAAGTTGGGTGGCTGAACATGCCAAGTGCTAAAAGGATGCAGGAGAGATGATTCCTGGTACAAAGCAGTACCAACCATGTCAGTACCTCAGCTCCAAGAGGTTTTTCCATGTGGTTCCAGCCCATCTAGTGACTAGGAAATCCCCTCCAAGGAATTAACCACTACCCCCTACAACATCTGCCCAAACCCCAGTGCATCTGTCACACCAGTGCAGCCCTCTTCTGTGAACTACAGGACATGGTGTGGTCTCAGACACTGCAGGAGGTGCCAGCAGGAAAAGGAGTAAACATTCCTGTGACACGAGAAAGCCACCACTGCTTTTTGGACTAGCAAAATCCCTCAGGGCAACAGTAACAAAAAATGCTGTGGCACAAACCACAGAACCTCTCTGAGCTCTATGTGCAATTAAAATTCCCAACAGGTGAAAAGTGTTCCCACTTAGTTTTGATCCAACAAAAAGTGAAATGCCAGGTTTATTGTAACATTTCCATGCGTGCAAGGTGGATCCAAGTGGCCCTAAACCTCTGTGTGATGGGGATTGGGCCCAGCCCCTAAAGCCCAGAGGGGGAACAGAACATTCACAGCTTGGTTTGGGGTGTCCCTGTGCAGGCTAAGCCCCTGGTGAGAGCCCTGAGCCAAGGACATGCAGGGAGGATGTGTTCACTGGTGCCCACCTGCCCTGCCCAGGGTTCCCAGGATCAGCCAGCCTGTCCAGGGCAAACGGAAAAGGGGAAATGGGATTTCAAGTGCAGCCAGACGTGAGGAATACCAACAGTCCTGCTGGGTTTTGGGGAGCCTTTGCTCAGCAGCAGCAGCACACACCCACACCACACACGTGAGGGTGAGAACACTCCCAACTTCGCAGATGACAGCTCTGGTTTGGGCAGGGGCTCCCAGAGTCCTGAGACTGCTCAGGCACACCTTGGGGCTGCCCCATGTGACATTCCCAATGGAATTCTCCACAGCTCAGGCTGATTTAAGGGCTCAGACTGTTGTTTTAGTAACAGGAGATTCTAAACACCAAGAAGCTGCTTCCCATCTGACCTCCAAAGCACATGGGCAAGTGTCTTCACATTCCCCTGAGCAACTCCAGAGACACTGTCAGCCACAGCCGCTGTTTGTCACCTCTGTGCCACCTGTTCCTACAAGGGGCTGCTGGAATACTGCTGGATGAGCCGCTGGTGGCAGGGGTTGCAGACGCGCTCGGGGTTGATGCTGGACGGGAGGGGCAGCTCGTGCGCCGAGCAGGTTTCACAGAAGGTGCCCCCACAGTTCTTGCAGATGTTCTGGAATGCAGGAAAAGGACAGAGCAGTCAAGGAGAGCTCCAGGTCTTGGCAGATCAAGTGAGGGAAGAACAAACACTGAGCTAAAGAAGGGAAGAAGCTGCTAAGGGGGAGGAAAAGCAAAGCACTGAACAGGGCAGAGCAGGGAACCATCACCCCATCAGCATTTAACAAAGTTCTCTTAAGGGCAGAGGGGCCTGTGAGGGCTCATTTCTTGGAACCCCTCACCAGCAGGAATCTGTGATTCCACAACAAAAAGCAGAGGGAACTGAGTCATGGGCTGTGGGAGATGGCAGCTCAAGGCCAGGACTCACCTTCCTTTGGCTCCGGCTGTCCTCCTCCTGGCACAGCTGGCACATCTCGGCGTGCCCAGGCCCCGACAGCTGCTCCTAAAGCCCAAGCCAAAACCAAGACATTCTGCTTTACATGGCCCCTGTGGCAGAGCTCAGCAGCACCGGGGTGGGGGGACTAAACATGGTATTCACTGGGAATAAGCTGGCAGCAGCAGAAATTCCCCAGTGGGCAAGACAGCACAAGGCATCCCAGTGGCTCTCTGGGGGTCGGGCTGTGCTTTGCCAGGCACACGGAGGAGAAGGAGAGGATTTTGGAAAGGAAAAGAGCAAAACCACCAAGAAGGAGAATCACCCACCTGCTCTTCCTGCGTGCTGCTGGGTGACCTACAAGGGAACAACAGCATCACTTGGAGCAGGCCTTCCCTCACCAGAGCCTTTGAATAGAACATCTGTGCTATCAGGGAATTCCCTCATCCCATTTTTGAAACCCTCCCCAGATTTCTGAGTAGCACTCCTGGTTCCATAGGAAGAGCAGAAGAAAAAATTGCAAAATGCATCCAGGAGAGCAGAAGAGAGGCAGCATGAACACAGAAAAGACTGTTGAGGTGCTAGAGCAAAACAGTTTGGCTTTAAACACAGGCCTGCAGGTTTGATCCCCACCCCTGCTGTGAAATGCACAGCACAGCACCACAAGGCCTGTACACCATCAACCTGACCTGCTTAAACACTCCAGGTCCAACAGGGGTAAAAGCCATCTCGGGCCTGGAAGGGTTTTAGTATCTGGCAAAGCAGATTTGAAGTGCTTTGTGCTATTTTAAGAGGATATTTTCCTGATGACCTCATTGATTAACTCACTGATTAACTCAATGGAGAGTGCCTCGAGGGCACAGCACAGACCTGAGAGTCAGAGCACTTCCAATGGGCTGTTCCATCCCCAGCCAAAGCCTCAGCACTGAGCTGTGCCCAGGGGCTTTGAAAACACCTTTTAACTCCTAAAACCAAATACTCAAATCCTGCAGCAAGAATCCTCCTCTGTAATAATTCAGCTTAGAAACAAGTGACCTCAACCACAATTTGACACAGCCATCTTCTTAAATTCACACTTGAAGTTGTCTTTCCCCAACAGCTTCTCTTTAGGAGGTCCAGAGACCCTTCTCCTTTCCCTCACCAAAGAGACTTTGGACATGAGTTCCAAAAGTCTTGCATTTGGCTTACCAAGGAGTCTTGAGTCAGAAAAATTACTAAACAGCAGGTTTAGATAGAAAAAAATTCAAAGGTAAAAGGGAGAGACACAGAGCTTTTCCCATCTGAAAGCACTGATGGCCAACAACTGAACCTCTTCCTTCCCTTTGAGAGCTTTGGAAAAGCAGCACAGAACTCAACCAAGGCCATAAGGCTGGAAATCCTTAAAAAGGGAAGCTGGACTATTCCCAACTCCCTGTTGGCACAGCAATTGGAGAAGGGAAAGCAGGACTTGGGAGAGGCAGGGATGACATTTGTGTCCTTCCTTACCTGTGTGGCAGGACACTGTTCTCTCTCAGCGCCTGCTTCAGTTTAGCATTTTCTTCCTGGACTTTGAGCTTCCCATCCTGCCAAAAGGAAACACTCACCCATCAGCTGCACTAGAGGAGAACTCCAGTCTCCCTCCTGCCTCACTGCAAGGGGAGAACTGGCACTGCTATTTTGGGATACTGCTCTGCCCCTCCTTGGCACAGAGGGGTATCTGGGTCCCAGTTTTCCCTGGGAGCAGCTCTCAGTGCTTCCTCTCTGCTGTGAGCAGAGGGCACTGTGCCTCTCAGAGGTGGGCAGGGGTCCCAGGCAGGAGCCAGGAGCCACAGGCACCAGTTCTTATTTGCAGAGGCTGAGAACAAAGATGGGCTGAAGGGGTTTTGTCAAAGCTGACCAGGGACATTTTCCCATCCAGCAAAGAAAACAACCCTCCTCTTCTCCCCAACAGCTGAGCCATGAGGCCTAAAGCACTTCACTGAAATTGTGTAATAAAGGTCAAAAAAGACAAAATGGCCTGCACCATTCAAGCAGACCAGAGAGAAACAAGGAACTGCAGAAGCCATCTCTGTTACTGCACATTTAAACTGCCTGTTCAGAGCGTATAAAAATCTTCCCAAAGCTCCTCTGCTTGTGGCACATGAACAACAACCATTTACTGCCCGAGAAAGCTCAGTAACAGCAAACAAGCCAAGGGAAACTGTACCTCAAACCCGAGCCAAACCCCGAGTCACATTACCTGTCTGAGCCAATTCTTTGGGCCTTTTTTGCTTTCTTGGCTGCGCTGGTGACTGTGAGACCATCTGTCTCTTTCCCGCCTTAGCTCCAGTTCTAGGTGGCTCCTGGAATGCCAGGTGGAATTGTGAATAAAGGATGGTTTGGGGACACTTGGCATTGACTACTGATGAGCTGTTTGACCCTTTCTTCACACCCCTAACTCAAGAGCTAAAACTGCCTCTTGGAACCCAAAATTGTCTCGCGGTGTGTTTAGCCGTAACGTGTCAAGATGAAAAATCTCCAACTCCTTCATCTAATTCTGGCACCATTTAGCATCCATCTGATGCAAAACCAGACCCATGTGCCCGTGTCCTCCTAAGCTCACCCATGCACACCCAGGACCTCACACCAATTGCTGACCAAAGCCTCTTTGTGCTTGTCAGAGCAGCTTTTGGAAAAAAAAACCAAAAAGCTGGGCCAGGAGGGGAAGAAGGGACAAAAACCTCCATGTAGCCAGCAATGCTCCCACAGAGCTCATCCCAGTGACCTTGCAACAGGCCACAGATGGGTCAAGGCTGAAGGAGATGCTCTTGTCTTTAAGGAAAGAGGTTGGTCTGTGTCCCTGTCACTGCTCAAGTGATCAGGCTGCAGGGGAAGATGTGATGGCTTTTGACAAAGTCTCTGTTGGAGTTCCAGCAGAACTAAGAGCAGGGAAAAAATCCATGTCAATGTACTGTGTGTCAGATAAGACAACCAAAATCACTGCCCTTGCTCCAGCACCTTCAGTGTTGGCTCCAGCCAGAGACATGGCTGCTCAATCCCTGCCCAGGAGCAACAAACTGTAATGTTAACTTTGGATTCCCAGTTATCACAGAATCACATAAGGTTTGAGTTGCCAAGCACCTTACAGACTACCTTGTCCACCCTGTGCCATGGGCAGGGACACCTTCCACTGGATCAGACTGCTCCAAGTCCTGTCCAACCTGGCCTTGCCCACTCCAGGGATAGGGCATCTGCAACTACTCTGGGCAGCCTGTGCCGCTGTCGAGTGATGCTGTTACCAAGGACTTCCCTCCCTGGAGTTACACCTCGTGGCATCTCAGACAAAACTTGGCCCACTCCCTTCTCCATCCGCTGCTTCCCTGTGCCACCATCCCCCTGCTCTCCCCTGGACACAGCACCAACAGCCCAGAAAAGAGGTTGGAAAAGGGTCTCTTCACCGCTGCCTGGAGAGCTCTTCCACTTCCAGCTGGAGGCTGTTGATTTTGTCCCCAAACTCCTGCTTGAAGAGCCGGTTGTCCTGCAGGGCCAGCTGCCGGTCCTTCTCTGCCTGTCGCAATCTGGATTTGAGCCACATGAACTTGTGATAAAAAACAAAAGCCATGGTGGGGAGGAAGACTGAGTTTAACCAACAAATAAAAAAAAAAAACCCAGTGAAAAGGTAAAGCCAAAAAAAGAGAATGGTAAAAACAATGGAAAGGAGGAAAAAAGTTCAAAGCAAAGCAAAATGTAGGTGAACCAGGCAGAAGCTCTTGTTTTCAATAGTTTTTATTCTATCACTACAGTTTACAGCCATTAGATGAGAAACAGAAAACATCACTTTTATCCAGATTCGAAGCAAACCTCAAGTACACAGAATTTTAAGTCCAATTGGAGTTTAATGTACGTTACATTTCAGCTTTGCACAGGTAACTGGAACTTGCAACATAGGTTGTAGCTACTCTATTGAGAATTAGTGCATGTTCCTGGTCTCTCCCATGGATGGACACTTTGGCTCAAGCCCCAGGCATCAGTACACCGCCACATTCCCACTCGGGGCCTGACATCAGAAGCAGCCAGATCCTTCAATCTGTCTGATTTCAGCACAGACCTCACCATCCAACCCACTGTTCCTACAGCAGAACTGTGCCAAGGGGCAGGGGCTGCCCACCCTAACCCGCTGTTCACACACCTTGGTCAAAGCTTCCGCCTTTCCCTTGGGATTACTTTTTCTCCAGGGAGTTGGGATGAGTTTCTAGTAGCAGGTTACTGAGTTTATAGGTTCAAGCATGCGGCTCGGGCACGGCAGGGAGGGTCCCAGCAGGGCTGTGCTGGGAGCCCGGGGAAGAAGCCCCCCAGTGGCCCAGGCTCACATCCACAGGGACCAGGCTGAGCCCCGTGGGGTTTTAAACATTCCGAGGTGCTCCCTCCTGGGCTTGTCACATTTGCCACCCACTGCCCCAAGGAGCACCCTCCCATAGGTCAAAGGGAGGACTGGCACCAAAGAATTACTACAGGCATCTCACCAGAGCAAAAAAACCCTCATTCGACACAGAAACTCCCCAAATCCAACCTTCCAGAAGAAAAAATACCTGGAGGAACACTTACAAACCTAAAGCCTGTGAGAGGCCAGCACAGGGACTTCAGTGACCAGAGAATGTTAGTTTATAATAGTTCAAGCTACAGTTACTTCAGGTTTTGCATCAGGGTTTTAAACTGGCAATTATTTTTCCTATTAAGAGGCGTTTCCAAGCTTCAGCTCTTGTTCCCTTAGCAAATTCCATTTGTTTTGAGCAAGGCAAACTCACAAGAAAATGCAAGAAGTGTAAAAGGCAACTCTTTTCAGCCACCAACTACTTGGACAAGTAAACGGCAAGGACCAAATTTCCATCTCCACTCCCCACTGCTGCACACTGGGCTCCTTCTTTTTTCAATGTGTTTTTGCTTCCTTTAAACAAAGATCAGATTACTTTTTATAAAACTGGTAACTTCCCTTTCTGGGAAGGGGAGAGACCTCCCCAAACTCCTCTCCTCCATTTCCTTGGGTCAGGAAGGACCACAGGGTATGTCTGGAGGGATTCCTGGCAGAGGTAGAAGCAATGCAAAGAGAAGGAGGTTTCCACTGAACTTACCACTCTATCGTGTTACTCTAAGACACCTATAGCTACTAATTCTGGACACATGAAGTTTAAAGGAATAAGGATAAGTCCCCACCCTCCCCCCAGGTCCCTAAGGCAGAATCCAGGCAGGCTGGTTACGGGAGGGCCGGCGTTCCCGGTGCCGGGCCGGCGTCGCGCCCGCTCGGCTCGGACTCGGGGCCGGGCCCACAGAACAGAAGAGAACGGGGAACGGCTTGGGGCACGCACACAACTACTGTCAACAACTTCCAGGGATGCATTTCTCGTCTACTTCACAAAAGGGCAACACAGAGAAGGAGCTGAGCGGCCCCGGCGCGCGCGTGCCGCCGCAGGCGGTGACCGGGCACAGCCACCTCGGCCGCCCCTGCCGCGCTCCCGGGGCGCTCGGTGGGCAGCTCCTTGGTACTGGAACACGGTTCAAATGGCAGGGCTGGGGACTGGTATACCCGACTAAATCTCGGCAGAAAAACTCACTGGTTTTAAAAACTCGGCAAATTCCAAATCAACTTTAGGTGACAATTAACATTTTAACAGTTGCTTTTAGCAATTCTCAAGTTCTCCCCTCGTAAATGAGTTCTGATGTCAGAGCTGTGAGGTGGCCAGACATAAAAACGTCTAATGATGCTTCTGGATCAATTTGTTCGCTGCACTATTTAAGGTTTTTGCCTGTTTCACCAAATCCTTTTCACTGTATAAGTAAGTCAGAATGAGGATGATGAGAAAACGGAAAAAATAAGAACAGCAAGAGAAAAAGAACACATGAATTAGCTGAGTAGGTACCATGAAACATTTTCAAACACAAACTTGTTCTGAAGAAAGCCACTCTGTCTACAGAAACCCTAAAATGAGAGCACCCAGTGGAGTGCAGCGCACGGCTCATTAACCAGGTCCCAGGGGTGCTGCTCCCACTGCTCCCCTCAGGCAGCTCTGTCTAGCAGAGCACTGGGACCCTCCCCTGGCCCACTCTGGATCCATGGGACACTACACTACAGGACATACCAGTGGATCCTGGCTCAAGTTTCCTGTCTTACCTTTGTTCCAGCTGTTTGATGGTGGCAGCCATCTGATTTGTTTTTTCTTCCAAGCGGCTGTTTAATTCACTCTTCTGTTTCACTCCCATGTCTGAACTCTGGGAAAAGGAGCAGTGGGGGTTGGTGTAAGGAGTAGTAAATCCCAGATAAACCCCCATAAACCATTTGGCACACAAAACAACAGGGCAGAAGGCAAAGAGGCAGTAAAAAGTGCTGGAAAAGCAAACGCCAGGTCAGTACTGCAAGGACAAACATCTCCATCTGGACCCCACAACAGGGCAATGCCACCATCCATGAGGCTTCCTGCATATGGAAAAGGCATGCTGCAGTGCCTGCTAATACTCAGTATCTTAATATAATCCAGCTGCTTTGAACAAAGACATTGGCTCAAGGAGAGCCAAAGCAACTCTTTCCTGTTGTCAAATTGATTTTGGGATCTGTTCTGAGTGCGGTGTTGCTGTTTGGATTCTGCTTGTGTCACCACACAGGAGTTACACCAGGGGCACACCAGACTGTGCTGGAACACAAGATCCCACGGCTCTTTTCACACCACAAAACCACCCAAGATGCTTTCCCCTGTCACACACACAAACTTCTGGACCATGATGGACTTCTGTTCAGAAGAAGCAGCATTCACCTTTACCCTCCACCACGTTGCTGTGTTCTCACAGCAGGACAGGAGGGCACTGCACATCCTGTGACCATTCCACACCCAGCACCTTTCCAACAGGCAGGAGGAATAAATGCACAGCAGCTCCCACTTTCATCTGGAATTCCCTGCACTTCCTTAGCTCCCTACCTGCAGCTTGAAAGACAGTTCATGCTTTAGAGCCCTGAGATCGTCCAGCTGCTGTCTGAGTGCCACCAGGGCATCCTGCTTCTCACAGACATCCTTCTCCAGCATCTTCATGGCCAGCTCCATCTCCTGCCGCATCCCGATCTGCGCCTCCAGCTCCTTCTCCACATCCTGGAACACAAGGAGCCCTCAGCATTTCCAGGAGCTGCCCTCATGACCCAGGGGTAACCACCCTTCCCTTCTGCCCACGCAGTCCCTACATGAGTGTGCTGCTGCCACAACTTCAGAGTCACACATCAGACACGTGCCTTAAGGGGAGTAACTCCCCAGCTTGCAGCCCAGAATCGCAGCCAGGCGTGCAGCACGGTCAGCAGAGTCAGGGAATTGTGCATGGACCAGTCTTTAGGATGGAGGGGTCTAAGGGAAGATTTTCTTTCCTTAATCCTGTCAGCTCAGGCATTTTTCTCCCCAGGCATGTATCGACCATGAGCCCAGCAGGGCCAAGCCCCGAGCCCCGCTCCTCACCAGGCGCAGCTGAGTCTCCTCCTTCAGCTGCTTCCGTGCCTCAGTCAGCGCCTGCCCGTCAGCACTTCTGTCCTTGGTGGCCTGAGGTAACAGACACAGTTCTCTTGGTATTGTGTACTGCCAGCCCTCACTTGACCTCATGACTGGCTTTTCCCTGCAACAATTCAGGACAAACCAGCACAACTCCTATTTCCTGATTCACCTGTCCCCCCCGACAGTCGGTCCCCCTCCCTCCTGTCCCCTGACACCTTGCCCAGAGAGCTGTAAGCTGTGGGAGCTCCCAGCTCCATGCACGCTCCCTGCTCCATCCCTATGGCCAGGCAGACTCCTTGGGGCCAGGGCCCATCTGTTCCCTCTGCACAGGGCCCACACCTGCCATTCCTGTAATCCCCTGTGGGGTTTGTGTGAGACAGGCAAGGAAATAAACTCTGCTCCCAACAAGGCATTCAGGCTGGGCCGGCCCCAGGGCTCGGCAATCCTCACACAAACACACCAACCTTACGGCTGGACTCCAGGATGTAGGAGCTTTCTTCCTTAACACGCTCCATCTCCTCCTGCAGTGTAATGATCCTGTTGTTGGCAACTGCAAGCTGGGAACAGAACACAACAGTTAACACACCAAAAACATACTTCACTGGTTTTTTTTCTCTCTTGACCCCAGCAGATGAGGAAGATTTGGCTGGAAACGGAGGACGAACAGCACACAGCACCCCTAGGGATGGGACACCTGGCCCAGAGGAATTCCCAGGGATGACAGCACTGCAGACCAACAGATTAATGTAAGTGTATGGTCAAAAGCAAAAGGAACTCGAGAAACTCCTTCTGGCTTTGTGGCTCACGCACGGGAGCAGCTCAGAGACACTGCAAGGGATCAGCCATGCTATCCTGTGAGCAACCCACAGACAACTCCCGGGTGAGAGTGTGAGTCCTTGGCAGGCTCAGGCCTGTCACAGGGCTGTGTGTGTGACACAGCTCATCACCTGCAAACTCACTGCCAAACCCCAAAACACTGCAGGCACCACTGCAATGCACCCCTGGTACCACGCCACTGTGCAGGCAGTACACACAAAGGCACTCACTGCACCAGGTAAGACCTCCTGCCACCCATCTGCCAGGGAACTGACCCCAAAACATGTAATGACATTTATGCCATCAAGTAATGAGCTGCAGACCCATGTTAAAGCACAGACTGCACCTATGCCTCGTGTACCCTCTGTTTCTCAAGCTCAGGCTGTACATCTCACTTATGACATTTTTTCCTTTACTTATTGCAATTTACATAAACATACAGTTGATTTTCTCGCTTGTGCTCAGTAGTGACAGCCAGTGAAATTCCTTGGCAGGTCAGCTATTCCAGTTCCATTGTTTAAACACCCCTCATTCTGTACACCAGACATCTGAAAGGAACCCCTCCTCCCTGGTTAATCCCCTAACTCCCAAAGGCCAAAGCATCCAGTGGTTTTCCATGACACTTACCTCCTCAGTCAGCTTTGTGTTGGATTTCTCCAAGGCATCCACCTTGGCCTGCAGGTTGTTTACTGTAGCACTGTTGAAGAGAAAAAACCCTACAGTAATTCCTTCACTTTTTAAAATCCTGTTTTGTCTTTTGTTCTACAAGAGAATAAAGAGCCAAGAGAACACGTCTTACCTTAGATGTCTGTTGAGCTCTTCTACATAGTTCTTCTGGTCCAAAATAGCAGTTATCTGACCATCTCTATAGAAAAGAAACAAGGCAGCCTGGAACACCTGAACACATTCCCAAGAGAGGAGCAGCGAGACAATTGTGTGTGCACCTACCCTTCGCTGCCTTTCGTGCTGTTCCCATCTTTCAAATACATGGAGAAATCGATAACTCCGACCTGGAGAAGGAAAATTTGCATTTTGCATTAAACACTTGGTTTCTAAGACCAACCCACTGTTGCCACGTGTGGAAGGTCAGAGTTAGAACATCAGCACCTGCTGCACTTCAGCAGGGGCAAAATTAATGAGTTCATCAGCACCTGCTGCACTTCAGCAGGGGTTCATTACATCAGTAAGCAATGCAAAATTAATGAGTTTTCCAGCTTAAAGGAGCAGAACAAGCCCATTAAGTGAACAGTCAGTACCTGGGAGTCCAGGTCCTCTCCCTTCATGCAGAAGTTGGCATCGATGACATTCAGACCTACGAGGAGGCCAGCAATGATGGCACCTTCCTCCTCCATCATCAGTGCATTGGGCTCATAAAATTCACTGTGAGATGCAAGGCAAGAGACACAGAGCAGTGAGCTGGGAAAGGATCTTACTGGAGAGCAGAAGTGAACCCAACTGACAATGAGTCCAGCACTCACCTGAGAAGATCCTTTCTGTTAATCAAGGCTTTCATGTACTCTGAAAGTTTCTTCTGCATCAGAGCCAGGCGAAGCCAAGCTCTTCCTCTGCCCACAGGTGTCCTGCAAAGGCCAGGAACAAACAATTCCAGACACCCTGCAAGGCACAGTCACCAACAGCTCTCATAACCCCACCCTACCTCAAGTTTCTGCACTTCCAAGAACTGGCACTGGTGCAGAGAAACACAAGGTATGTAAGCACAAATATGTGCAGACCAATTAGGCTGTCACTGTCTCTTAACTCATGATGGTTTTGTTGCCATACTAAAAAGATTTCCCCGGCTTTATCCCTGCTGGATACTGCCAGACAGATCAGCTGTTTCAGCTCATCCCCTTCTGAGTCACAACCAGCTCTGCCTAAGTCACAGGAACATGCACAAACCAGCACAGCTGCCAACACCACTCCTTGGGTGGGTCAGGCTGGATGGCAATGTGGGCAGACAGCTCAGAAACACCAACTCAGTTCTTTCTCCTCAGGTGCTTCGCCCCTGAACGCCCTCACAGGCTGCCAGGGGCTCGAGTGCCAGCCCTTCCCCTCTGTTCTCCCAGCCATGGGGAGCACGTGGCTCCAACACACTGATCTGGATGTCTGACCTCACTGGGCACGAGCAGCAGCAGCCCAAGGAAGCCACGGCCAGCACTGCCCACCCGGACTCACTAACAGGACCTGCCACTTGCCAAGGGTCACTGTGAGCACGAGGTTTAGAAATGCACCCTAAAACTGTTCTTGGCTTCCATTCATTTCCTATTCCAATGTTCTACAACAGGAAGAGGTACCAGGAGCTCTGGCACAGCACTGCTCCTGTCAGCTGCTGCAGGAGTCCTGCACACGCCTCCAGGAAAAGCACTTGTCTGTGTGAACGTGACTAAATACTACCCCAAAAGCAATTGATTGAATTTATCCACCTATTCTTTCAGCAAAGATGAATCCATCCTTACTCCCGATCCTCATACAAAAGCTTCCTTACCCATTGTTTCTATTCCAAGCTAAAAGCTTCTTACAGCTTATCTTACCATGAAACAGGCAAGACTGAATGTGATGTTTGAAATTCCTACAAAACTTTTACAAGCAACATATGCTTGCTGTGGCTTTTTGCCTCCCCTCTTCAACACAAACTACTGCCTTCTCCAGCTTGGTGCCTAAGCTTTCCTCTCACAAACACTTAACCTGAAGTTATTTACAAGAAGAATTGCCTACATCAGCCTCAAAACTATTCAAACTGTTATAACCTTCCTGTTAATTCCCTTCCTCTTGAGTCTGACTTCATAAATGCTCAATAAAGGCTGTTCCCATGCCTGAGGCACAAGCAGTAAATGCACTGCTGCCCATAAGCTGCCACGCTCTTAACAGAGCAAGAATATATCCTGTGCTCTCCTGCTGCAGATCCTTGATGAAAATTAAGGGAGCAATGATCCATTTTTACCTGCAGAAGGTGACAGATGTATTCCTGGAGGTTCTGTTCACCCTTCCTTCTCTTCTTCAGAATCCCTCTCACAATAAACCCATATTATGCACTCATGCAATAAAGGAGTGTACTTACTTGAGCCCTGGGAGATCCTTAACACTTGCTGTAATCTCTGCAGCCTCAGGAACAAGTTTTTCTACTAATTCTAGAGGTCCCCAAAATGACTTATTTTGCCCGAGAAAAGTCTTTTTGGCTAAAAAACAGAAAGAAATAAAAAATGAGCCTGTTAGACCTGTGCTGAAATAACACATTCTCAAACAAGTGAACAAATGAGCCAAATCCTGCCAGAATGGTTCCTCTGGGGCTGCTGCTGGGCAGGCACTTGGTATCCTGGAATCTCAGGATGGCTGGGGTGCAGATCACCATTTTCCACACCCTTCTGCTTCCCATCTCCAGCTACTACCACCAAAGGCAGCACCTGAAGGCCAGTCTGTACTTGGCCATTTGAGCTCTGAGTCAGGATTTCAGTCAAGCACCAGCTCTGCTTTAAAAGCAGCTTCCAGCCATGAGCTGACACAGCCCAAACTCTCCATTTAGACAGAGCTATTGAGAAAGGACCTCTGGGGTTGCAGTTCCTCTTCCAGCAAGGCGATGCATGGCTAAAGCACGAGGAGGTGCAGAAAAGGGAGTCAGGAGCTTGCCAAAAGCCAGCTGAGTCCCTGATCACTGAGTTCCACCAAGACAACTGAACTGCTGTTTTTAACACCTGCCACAGCCCAGCCTCCCCCTCCAGCAGGTTCTGTGCCTTGCTTTGGCCTGCCCATGCACTGCGGTGACAGCGGTGACAGTGGCAGCCTCCCCCGTGCCCCCTGCAGGCTGCAGAGCCCTGCTGCTGCCCAGGCCGGTTACCTTTGAGGCCGTGCTTGAGGCAGTGCTCCATCACCACGAAGAACTGCTGCAGGGGGGCGTAGTCCGAGTCCAGCGTGCGGCCCAGGTTCAGCGCGGACTCGATGAGCCCCTTGATGCTCAGCTTGGCCATGTTCATCAGGTTCATGCGCTCGTTAGCCATCAGGTAATTCGGGTCTGCAAAAAACAAAGCAAGGAAACTGCTGGTGAGCAACAACAGCTGGTTTTGTTACAGTAAACACCCCACCTTGCTCTTGTTTTTCCTCAGCTTTGAAGGCGTTTTTGGGGCAGCGAGTTTCCCAGGAGGCACTCTGCAGGCCTTTTGTGGAGAAAAATCAACATCAACTAGCAGTTTAGGGCCAAAGCCACAATGGCATGGGAATAGAATGTATAATACTACATAAGGTGCCTTAATACTTCAAATAACTACAGGAGCTCCCTATTTTCAAACGCAAGACACACTTGGAGCCTGGTGTTCATCCTGTGCTTTGCACCTTGACAACGTGTCTCTGATCATCACTTGTCCCAACTCACATCCCCAGCTACAAACTGGTAAGAATCCTCCAGCTGGGCTTTGTTCTGGATTGTTCTTCCATCTAAAGATCACCTTGGAGCCCCTCACACTTAATCCAGCAACATGTATCTGTGCCCCAACTTGCATCTCTCTTCCTCAAGACTGTTTTTTAAACTTAGATGTAACATGGAGCCAACTCCCACTTCCCTCTCTTGGTTTTAACTCTGCCACTGGTTTTCACCAGTGAGGAGCTGATCTTCATGGCTCCTGACAGGTCATACTAAACCCCAAAACTCACAGATGTCCCAGGATTATATTCTTTCTCTTGCACATTACAAACATCCAGACCTTTAGGCCTGCTCCTCACACCCAAGTTTTGAGCTCCAGGTCTCGGGTGCAGGCAGTTTCATCCCTGTAAATCCCCCACTTATCCAGGGCTGCTGCCAACAGCCAGGGACCCTTGAACCAAGCTGCCACCTCGAGTTAATGAACTACTCCTGGCAGCAGAGACCCGAGCTGAGGACACCTCAGACTACAGATCTAAGCAAGAGGCACCCTGTCAGCACCCACCAGCCAGAAAGGGAGCCAAGAGCCCAGCTAGGACACCCACACCCAGTGCACGTCACTGTGGGCTGGGAAAATCCAGCACAGGGAGAGGAAGAACTGGGGCAGCACCAGCATCCAAACCTGACAGCACAGCTCATTTGTTCAGTGCCTCAAAAGCAGCTCAGGGCAGCGCTCTCTCATTGCCCTTCTTCTTCAGAGTGAAGCAGCACCAGACGTCTCCTTCTCTAATTTTATCTCCATAGATTAGAGAATTTCCAAGGACTCATTTAGGAGTGCAATGCTCAGAGCAGCACAAAGCCTCAAGCCTGTGAGGTGCTTTTACTGCCTTTCAGGACTACTGCTGGCTGAAGGTGATGGGTCTGGCTGCCCTGGAGGTACCCTGAGCCTGTGATCTGCTCTGCATTTCCAATCCATTTCCTGACCTGCAGTGTAGCTAACACTCACCATCACTGGGAGTGGAGGAACGAGTCAGGCACAGGACTGCCAACACAGAGACCTCCTCCTCATCCTCTCTCATCACATTTCCTCACTGGCCAAGGCTGCTGCTCTGATGGGTAGCAAGGCATCCACAGTGACTCTGCTTGGGGGGCAAACCCATCCCTAATGCAGAATTAAAGGAACTGTACAAGAGAGCACCAAAGAAAATGCTTCTTTGGCTGTGGTTACTGGCTAATTTCAATAGAAAAATATTTTCACCATATCATACTAATCCAAGGTTTCTGCTTCCTTAGTCTGCTCTGAGCAATTGTGCTCTGCATGTGCAGTCTATCCAAGATTCTCAACTTGCACACCAGTTAGCTTATATAGTGTGAAATTGGATAAAACCCCTAAGGTTTATTCCAAATGTTAAATGCTAAGTAATTGATACTCTTGCTCTAGGTACTGCACCACACACACCTTTAAAGAAGGCAGGGTAGGCAGGCAAGGCTGACTTGTACACAGTAAAGCTGTCAGGCTGGCTTTAAGCTGGGACAAGTGTGATCCTGGTGTGCTCCATCTGAGCCAGCACCTTCTCCAACTTCCTTCTGCCTCTAACTGCAAAACCTCTGCTGGGGCTTTCCTACGCAGCCCACGTCATAAACCTTAAAAAGTAAATCCCCAGCCCTTGAACTTTGCCTTTTCACAGGATTTGGGTTTTAAATAAAGCAATGTCCTCTTAGGACATTATGGTATTTAAATACTGCAGCTTCTACAGAACAGACATATTTTCTAACCAGCTGCTTCCACGAAGATGTTTCCAAAAGGACTTAAGAATCCTGTAATTTGTTTAAATGGTACAATCTGCACCCAGGAACCTGAAAGTCAAGAAAGAGTCAATGCAATACAGGATCTCAAAGGGTTAAGCTATGACTGGTCTTCGTACTTCTCATTTGGTGACAATAAATTTTATCACTCCTCATACTTACTCTAAAAGAAGGAAGCAACTAAAACGAAGCTAAAACTTGGATCAAAGGCAGGGAATGAGGAGACACTGGAGAAGTGAACAAACCCACTGCAAGCAATGCCAATTCATTAGCATTTCATCATGGTTCTCCATCTTACATCAAGAACAACAACTTAAAGTAAGCTGAAATGTAACAGGGCTGCTGCCCTGTGACAGAGAAACACCTCCCACCTGACAAAATAAACGCCAAACAAACTGGACAATATTTTATGAAAAGAAGCCCCAAGCCCCTCTTTTTTCCTAAAAGCCTGCCTTGGAAAATGCCCTTTTCTGGGAAGCAGCACGGGCTGTTGTGCCAGGAGAGGAGGACGTGGCCTGTGGCTGAGGAGGCTGCGGGCAGCACCCAGGCACAGAACCAGCACAGAGTTAAAGGCACCAGGGTGGAAGATGAGCAGCAAGGACCAGCGTGCTCAGTGCAGGAGAACACCAGCCTTTTGTGCTGCCAACACCTGAATCCCGTGCAGGAGCAGCTGTATTTAATCATCAAAGTACCACACTGATTAACCACTTGCTACATGGGGGATTCAACTATTTCACACTTGCACTGTTTCTTAAAAACCAAGGAAGAAGTGCTATAAATAAGTTTGTCTTTTAGTACTTCACAAGTTTTAAAAAAATATGCAATGCAAGTTTTAGACTAATTTCTGCCAAGCCTTGGCAAATACTGCCAGAAAATCTGAAGAATCTAGACAGAAATACTGCAGAAAATCTAAAGCTTCAGAGTGATTTCTGAAATATTTTTTAGAATTCAGCTTCCATATGTTGTTGCAACCTTTTAGGCTGTGCTTCTGCCAGGCTCAGGAAACTACTGCCTCTGAAAGCATTTACGAGAAGGCAAATAGCCCTTGTTGATCTACTTCTACCTCCACTTCAAATTGTAAAAAAACCCAAACCCGCAAACATTTATTTAAGCAACACCAAGAAAATGCAGGAAAGCCACAGCTGCTGGCACTGGAAAGGGAAACTAACTGCAATTTGCACTCAGGCTCAAAATAATAGCGCAGAAGCCAAGGATTAGCACAAAAACAAGAGCTGTGAGATGTGGGTGTGGAACGCACCTTCGGAATCATCATCGCGCAATTGCTCCACCACATCTGTCAAATCCTCCCAAGAGTCTTTGCAAACAGCAAAAGGAAAGGAAAAGAAAGAAAAACGTCATGCAAGCCGTGATCTAAAGGAAAGATTCAAAATCAAGGTGTAAGAAAAGCATAACTGAAAGGGAGATTTGCATCATACAAGACTTAATTCATAGTGGCAAGAGATCTGCAAGTCAAAAAGGTTCATTAGTCTACAAAAAGAAACAGAGCAAAGCATTTTTCTCCCAGAGTCAGACCGGCAGGCTTCACAAAAGCTGCAGAAGTTTTGTTTCTGCATTGACACAAGCAACATTTTTGTAAAGCACATCTTAAAACGAAAAGCAACAAAAGCATTACTTTATTACAAGATAAAAGCACTAAACTTGCGATATTTATGCAACGTCAGCTTTTGCTTCGATTCCCTCACATCCAGCCCCAAGAAGAGCTGCTGGCAGGGACACAGCCACACGTGGGAAGCAGGCACGTTCAGGGAAAACACACACTCAGGGCATTTTGAAGGCTCGGCAGAGGTTAAACTCTGTTCTGACTCTCACCCCAAATGACAGATCCCACAGAGGTGACCCAGCCGAGCCCCACACGGGTCCCAGGCTGATGATGATCCCCCTAAGGACTCAGGGGAGCGCCTCTCTCTCCTTGGCGGGGCCAGGGAGGTATCCTGGGAGAGGAGCAGGCAGGACAGGGAGAACAGGTTTCAGCACTCCCACTAGGTCCCCGTTCCAAACCCAGCGAGCGGAGCCAGACAAACGCCCCGGACCCTGGGCACCGTTCGCTCCCCACTCACGCACCGCGCTCCCAGCGCTCACCCGCCATCGGCACAACGTCCGAAGCACGGCAGCGGCTCCGGCCCCCTTCCCCAGCCAACTGTGCCGGCGATCTGAGCAAAGTCCACAGGCTGCCGGGCCCTCCTCCCTCCCACACACCGCCCGCCTCCTGCCCCGGAGCTGCAGCAACACCCGGGAGCGCCGGAGCTGAGCCCCGCATGCCCCGGGGAACGCGCTGCACCTCACCCTGGCACCGCTACGGACACTGGTCCCAACATCCCCCTGGGCTGAGCACACCGCAGCAGCAACAAGCACTACCCGTGGAGGAAACCTCTGCTGTTTAAAGCCAAAGCCCTGCAGATGCTCTCCCCCACGAGCCGCACCGATGGCTTTTGTTGTCTCACGACAGGTGTTGCAGCTTCCCAAGGGCCAGGAGACCGGATCTCAGCTGTCCCTGACACCTCCCGGGACCCCGGGACTCAGATCCAGATGTTGATCATCCCGGAATCCCTACCTGCACACACCACCGCTGCAAGGTCTTTTACCTAATATTGAGAGGTTGGATGCTTCTCTTAACCCAAAGCATGAACAGGGTAAAACATACAATCAAAACCAGATTTACCAGTACCTGGCTAACAGCCACTGAGACAACTGAAAGGCTTCATTTCATCTTATTTATTTTTAACCCTTAGCAAGTAACCCACATAAAGATCCCAGAGAAATACCCAAGGGAGTCACAAATATTTATCTTCTCTTCTATCCCTACAGGCCATAATCCCATCTTCCCACTAGCAGGAACTCCATGAATTTGAACTGGTACACTATGGCATTTGCATAGGTTCAGAGGCAAAAGCACACACACTTCATTAGCACTTTCTTTCCAATCTTCACTCATTCTCCATGCATCCAGCTGCACTTTGCATAGAGTTCATTTCTTCTTTTACCTTGTATATTTTCCCACTTGTTTGGAAATTCCACCAAGCAACAGTGGGGGAGGAAAAACATCTTCCCACAGGAGAATTACAAAGACCTGAAACTCTATAGTTTCCATGGTCCTTACTGGGTGTGAAAAACTCCACACTTTTGATTATGATGGGAAGTATTTAACTTGGTATGTACCAAGTTTAGAAAACAGGATGACCGAGGCTTTTGAGTCTCCATAACACAATTAACTCATTCCAACCAGATTCCCAGGAAGATCAGTATTTTGGAACTGAATATCCCATTGGAATGAACATTCAAGCCAGTTCTTCAGAAAGGGACTGGAGAACTTGTCCCTAATGTATTAATCATGAAAATCCTATCTGTTATTTGGACAACAGAGGGGTTTGCAGTCACTCCCTTGGCTGATAGAGCAGCAGCATCTCACTGAAGGAGAGGGAGTATTTTCCCAAGCCAAAGAAAGCTTCTACAAGTAAGCCCTGGGAGAATGGAACAGCATGAAAATTATTTCACACTGCTGCTCAACATTTACTTTGTTATTAAAGGCTGAAGTTATTAGCTCTAAAATAGAGCTGGGAGTCTAATCCTTTCTGAACCAATGAACATCATCTCACACACAGCATCCGGATATCAAGTTCCTCCAAAGAGAGATAAAAGAGAATCACAGACTGCCTTCAGTTGAAAGGGACTTGGAAATTCATCCCATTCAACCCCCTGCCTCTGTCCCCTGCACGGGCAGGGACATCTTCCCTTGTTCCAGGCTGCTCTAAGCCCCCCTGGCCTTGGACACTTCCTGGGATGGGGCAGCCACAGCTTCTCTGGCAAACCTGTGCCAGGGCCTCACCACCCTCACAGGGATGAGTTTGTTCCATCAGGAAGAAAAGGTCACAAGTTTTTCAATAGGTCAAGACTTTAAAAATTATTTTTAAGTACAGAAATGTTATACAGACTCGTAAGGAGAAGCTGAGCTATCAGTAAAATAACCTAAAAAAACCCCAAGGCATCAGTTTTGGGAAATGAAAACTGAGCTTGATACACAAAGTCTTGAGTGATGCTGCCAGGTCAGCCCTGCTGCTGGGAAAGGCTTGGCCCAAATCTGGACAAATATTCCTTTATTATGAAAGGGGAACCTCTGGTAGCATTACTACACTTCAATTGCATTCTGATATTCCTTACCTTAGGAATACATTTAATAGCAACTAAAGAGGCCAAGGAAGAAAATTAGGTAGATGCTGTTCATGTTATGGGATGTACATAACTAATTTTTTCAGGGTAGGTTTGCCAACATGATGGATCATTAACTGTTGACAAAGAAAAGGCATCAGCAAAGGGTTCCAGCATCTGCAGCCTGGAATGACAGGAACCATCTACTCAGGACAAAAAACATTTCTTTTAAAACCCCATGCATAAAAATTCCATCTCTAAATACACACATATACAGAGAGCCTTGCATACAGAAGACAAGAGCAGTCAAAGATCTGCAAGAAACCAGAAGGAAATAAAAAGAAATCAAGAAGCACAGACAATTTGGATATTCCCAGCCCACTCTCCATTACACCTACGGGACAAATAAACAGCCATGGCCATCACATGAAGTCACAGTTTAATCCCACCCTAAGTCTTACTCCCATCCCCACATGATTACCATCAAAAAATTACCCTATTTCTCTATGCTGCAACTGTGTGCAGCTTTATGGAAAGTTTCTGCACAACCAGCCTGTTTCCAGAGGGAAACACATGACTAACTGCTATGGGCAATTTCTTATCCTATTTTAGTCCTTGGCAGTTTACACCAAGAAAGTAAGAACCCAAACCCTTGGGGTTTTTGTCCCCATCTTTCACTTCCCAGTTCAGCTGACACCCAAGTGGTTTCTCTGCAGCACTTGTGACTTGCCACCTCTGAGGGATTTAACCCTGCCCCAAGCTCCCCAGCTCTGACTTCAATTAGACTGACACAGCTTAAAAGGGCAAAGAAAACAACTCTTAAGAGTAATTCCTGCATTGAAGTCTGGATTACATGACCTAACTGCTATTCCCAAGGTTTATAACCACAAACACACTGTAATTCATTTAACTTGCATTTACTGACTTCACATTTGTTCTATCAGTCTCCAGCTCCTTCAAACTTCTCATCTATTTAGGGTTTGTATCACCAGAGGTGTTTTAAGAGGTTTTTTGCAAATACAGAGTCATTTTATGTAGGTTTTTGTCCACACATCAAAGGTCCCTGCCACTCTGAGTAGAATTCAGATTTGATTTGTAATGGGAAAGGCCCATAGCACTGAAAAATTCCACCTCTCCCACAACTTTACTGTTCCTATTCCACAGTACCAGAGAAACCCTAAACCCAAGTTAACTGTTGCCAGTTTGCAAAACAAAAGCATAACCAGTAAGGTTATGCTGCTTCCCTAAACCCTTCTGAGATACATTTTGAAAAACATTTGGATAAAACATGGAGAAAAAAGGTAAAATCTGACTAATGATTCAATAATCAGTGTAACAGATTAACGGGCAGGAGGTTTTTGAAGGACATCTGCTTTTCCTGAAATGCTCCACAACTCCTTGTCAGGGCATTCTACACAAGGACATGTCAGAAACTAAAACTTGTAAATTACTGGTCAAAAAAGAAGAAAAAAATCTGACCTTAGCTTCCGCCCTATAGAAAAGATAATTTCATCTTGACATGTTATAAATGTTAATTCCATTTGTTCCTCTTAGTGCAAATAGAGGAGGATTAATAAGAAGAGGAATTCTGTAATTCCTCAAAGTTCTCTCAAGTTAGCACCACTATTCCTCCTGGATGCTATTACAAGGTGATCCCATGAGGACAAAGATTTCCACAGCTCTCTTGTGAAGCTCCTCATGATTATTCAAGATAGAAATTTAACATCCAGTAACAACAGCCTATAAAGGCCATTTTGTGTAACTTCTCCCCAAAGCTGAGACCAGTGTTCAATGCCAACCATACACACACTCTGTGCAACACTCAGCACAAATACAATCCAGGTGCTTTTTATCTCCGTGCCTAAAGCTGCCTCAAAGACTGTCACACGCATTGCAAGCAAACAAAGTTAACAACCACCAATGTCACATGGAATTTTGAGGGGCCTGCAGAGGACAGGGAGGTTCTGAGAGTCTTATTAAGATCACAGCCTGTTTAAAAGAATGAGTTCTTTCTCTAATCAAGCAGAATTACAGTAAGCAGCAGAATCTGCTTATTTTCATATGCACACAGAATTGCTTCAATCAACTGAAAAAGCGTATTAATTGTTTTTATTGTTAAATTGAGTGGCCATGCTACAGGTTATATGGAATATACACAGTTGCAAGCAACTCAGTATCTGCTGCTTGCTTTTAATTTGAAGAAAAGTTTTTCTTAGCTGTTCTCAAGCTCCAGCTCCATGCAGGACTGGAACTGCTGTGACTGGATGTGAAGGCAGGATGGCTGCTCGAGGGCTGGGGGCACAGCAGATCACAGGCTGAAGAGAGGCCAGGGACAAAACTCTGCAGAAGCAGCAAGAGCTGAGGGACAGCAAATAGAAGGCTTCAAATCTTAATCCAACAAACTGTTGGATTCGGTACTTAGTGCAACATGTATTTTACATGTCTTTGATTTCTAAGGAAAGAGTTGTCCTCCTTTGTTCTGCCTTTGGAAGAAATCTACAACTTTTTTTTTTTTTTCCTTTTTCATAATGCCTACCTTTGCAAGTCAGGTTATCCTCCTTTGTTCTGCCTTTGGAAGAAATCTACAACTTTTTTTTTTTCCTTCTTCACAATGCCTACCTTTGCACGTCAGTTTTTTTTAGGGGGACACTCCCAGGGACACGAGCTCCTGTCCCCCTGCCCTGTGCACACCCTGCAGACACAGCAGCAGTGCTGATGCAGTAGCACCAGACCCAACGCTGGGATACAGCTGTGTCAGCTTTCCTATTGTCAATGCTCTTCCTGACCTTCTCTGTTCAAAATACAGCCTGGATCCAAACACACCTCCCAAACAACCAACCAGCAACTTGAATTTACCAGGAAGGTTGTTACAGTGCTGCTCTTTTGCATTTATTTTTGACATGTGAATTAAATAATACAGTAAAGAAATGAGCAAATGCTCTTTGCTAACCCTCTTCTGTATTCACCGAAGAGTGGCTGTAATTACACCTTGAAAAACACTGGAGTAAGACCAAGGAAGGTCTCAGTGTAACACACAAGAACATGGCAATTGGAAGACAACCGAATTCCTGCTCACCCAGTACTCACCTCCCTGAACCCCTGGGATATGCTTCAGAGGGAATGCTAAATTTCTCCTTTTGAAACCTCTGTCTGGTATCCCACTGCGTGACTAAGTACTTGGCAAGCCAAATCCAAACCCAAGGGCTACTGCCACTGAAAGCAGCTGTCAAATGGAAATGAAATTATCCCGTGCAAATGTATTTTAAAGCTGAAATCCCCACCACAATTTCACTTGTCTCATTCAGCAAGACAATATAAGACACTGCTGACTTCACCAGGCAGCATCAAACGGGCCAAGCCAGACTGCTTGCTGGAGTGGCATTTCAGGAGTTACTGGAAAAGGGTCAGGCACGAGAAGCTGGGGCCTCCTTGCCCTAAAACTAAAAGGTACATCCAGCAAGGACACTCAGAACCTGGGCACCTGCAGAAACTCATCACCTCTCCTTCCCCACTTGTTTATTGGCAGAGCACCGCATAGATGTCCTCTCATGCTTTTAGTATTCAGAGCATTCAATCCCCAATCCTTCTATTAAACTGTTTATCAACCCGGAGTCCTTTTTCCAGGGGAAAGCAAGATGTGCTACATCCCCACGTTTCAGCCTTCCAAGGCATTACACACAGCAGCACGCTCATCAGAGGCGAGCTGGGGCACTGTGATGGCATCGTCACCTGACAGTGGGCATCGCTGCGTAATCGCTGGGGCTTTCCAAAAACTCCCCAGGACCAGGCACTCGCTGCGGTGCTGCCACTCTGCTCCCCCGGTACCAGCTGGCTGCTCACTACCAGAGCTACCAGCCCCGCTTTAAGGGCAAAATCATTATTAAATGGTCTCACCGAGCACACATCGCGGTTTTCTTCCTTCCTGACACACACAAACCTGATACAGCTAAAAACAGAACTGATCACCAATCTGCCTTAAAGGGCCGGGTTACAAATTCGGAGGGCAATCCGAAGCAGCAGTTTTTGGCTTTCTGATGTGCCCGCGGCCATCCAGGCTCCGCAGGCAGGACACGAGCATGCGGTGCCGGAGACGCCCCCTCCCAAGCGGTGCAGCGGCGGAACAAAGCCGGCCCGGGGCTCCCGGGGCACAGCCGGACCGTACCTTCGTGGGTAGGCTCGGGGTCGGGTGTCAGCGAGATGTCATCCAGCTCGCGCAAGCACAGCCACTCTCCATCCATCGACACGCGGAATTTGCAAAGATAGATGGTCTCCATGGCAGCCTGAGTGATCTTGTCTGTGGTGGGGGTTGGCATGTCGCTTTGAGGCGTCAGAGCAGACATGATGACTCAGCTGGTACAACAACAACGGGGGCAAAATAAGGACTAAAAACAAAACCTTGCTGAAGAAGAAAATCAGAAATACCTTGCGATTAAAGGACAGATTGCTCAGGATCACAGAGGCTGCTCTGGCCTTTTCATAGATCAAGCAAGGTAAAAACGCTGCTCCTTCCCGCTTAGCTCTGCCTCCCTCCTTGCACCGACTGCCGTCGTCTCCAGCTATGCTAGAGGCTATTGATCCTCAGCATCCACAGAAAACCTGGCTTCTCCACCAGAGGTAGCAGGGAAAAACAAGGAAAAAATATTTTCAAAAATAAATAAAAGAGGCAGCAGAAGCAAAAAAATATTGTCTTCCTCTGGTGATGACCCGAGAAAAAAAAAAACAAAAACAAAGGACGAGCGGAGAGGCAGCGTCCCGGCGCGCCGAGCTCCGAGCGCGGCTCCCCTCTCCCGGCGCAGCCCGGGCAGCGAGTGCCGCCGGGATTGGCTGTGCGCAGGGAGCAGGGTGGCGACCAAAATGGCTGACTAATGAACTGAGCTGGAAAGGCAGGCTCATGTGATCGCCTGCGATTCCCAGGATGCTGCCGAGACGCTGCCGATGCGGGGCCGGCAGTCAGGCGCTCCTCGGCACAGCAGCTCCTCGCCGGGCTGGGGAGCGAGCGGAGCACGGCCGCACCCCCATCCATCGGGCCCGGAATACAAAGGAGCAGAGCCAGCAATACAAAGGCACATTTGTATTCCGCTCGCATCCCTGCGTGCCACTACAGGAATTCAATCGGCACCTTTGTTTTCACGGGAGGTGTGCGAGGCGCAGTTTGCGTTTTATTCGCTGTGCCATCTTCTCAGGGGGCACCTTGGAGCTAGAATTTCCCGTGTACAAAAAATGGTAGGATGGATTTATTGTCTCAGGGTAACAGGAAGGAAAAAATGATCTGGCTCTAAGCACTCCAGTGACTGAGGATGAAGCTCTTCCAGCAGGGCATGTGCACATGGAAGGACAATAAAGGAGAACGCCACAAACACTGTGACCCAATCTTATATTTTAAAAATCTCCCCTGAAAACTGTGCTGTTCAGGTGAGGCTGACAAATATTGTCTCTCAGCAGGAAGAGAAGCAGGCTTTCAAGTTCTCAACAATAATATAATAACAATATTTTATAATAACAGCACTGCATTACCTGTCCCTTCCTGACTGGCTGAACCTCAACTGTGTCCCCAACCCCCAGGGTCCTGGTGCTGGAAGACAAGAGGTCCCAAGTCACCAGACAGGTTTCTCATTCCCAAGGTCGCTATAGTGTCACCACCCACTTCAACAATCCTGTCAGGCACCAATAAATGAACTTATCCAACTTCATTCCTGTGTGGCTCCAATACATTTGAGGAGAGCAGATGTGCAACATCCATCCGAAATGGATGGACAGTCACCCTTGGAGAAGGTTGTCACCAGAGCAATATATTGGTAAGAACATGTGCCCAACGTATGGGACCTTGACTACTCTCTGCTTTTTGTTCCCCTAAGAAATACTCAGAGGGATGTACATCTGTTTCTTGGGGATGTGAAACACCAAAACAGATTGCTGGATAAAGAATTCAACATGCCAATGCAGACAGCTTTCAGAAGAAAATGACACCATCGTGTACAAGGCTCAAAACTGGGCAAGAGGATGAAGAGCTGCTATTTCTGACTGGCAAGAGGAAGCAGTTACTTTTGGTGAAAACTTCCTGCTTAGTGCAGCACATTTTGACTCAGCAACTCTTTCCCCATTAGGCCAAACCCAAGCAAGCACCAGGCAGCCTCTTCTGACAGAGATGCAAAGGGCAATTATTTCACAGAAAACAAGAATTACTATTGTTTCTTCTCCCCAAGAGAACAGAGTTCATAAAGCGTGCTGACAGCATCTTAACTCGTATATTTACACATCCTTTCAGCAGTCACAGCCTCTAGCTGCAGCATCCACATTGCACCACCCCAAATGCCAAACACAGTGACTGTGGCCATGTACCAACTGCTAGAGAACAGCTGCTGGCCCTGGCTAACCCTTGGACAGGGTCTAAACAAACGGCACACGCTCAAAACAAACCCTTTGGAATCAACAAAGCACCAGAAGCTATTGCTCAAGCTATTATCCAACAGCTCTCACATACAGACCGTTTAATTTCTTTGTTTTCAAAGCAATCAGAGATATCAACAGCACTGGGTGTAACCCCGAGCTCCCATTTCACAACACGGGTCTTCAGCTGAACTCAGCACAGGCAAGTGCCCCACACATCAGGATCACAGGGAAGGTCTGCTAAAAAAATCAGGAACCATTCAACTTCCATTGGTTTGCTGTTAACATGCAGAAAGAACAGAAGACAGTAATTCCCTTCCAGCTGAGTTCTATTTTCAGGCTCCTTTATGCAATGTCCTGCTGCAAGTACTCCACAGAGATATTTAAAGTACTAGGAAAATGTTCTTTAACTTTGACTTATTTCCAAAAATGAAAAAAAAAAGATAACCAAAAAACCCCAAACAGGAACTGTTTAACTTATGACTTACCTTTTTATCACCACCTGAAAACCACAAGGCAAACCTTCTGCTATCCCCATCCTGTGCCCCAAAGTGATTAAAAGCAACAAAGCCTCTCATGAAGAAAGGTATCAAATATAATGTTTCCACAAAACCTTTCATACAACTACCAGGCAACTCAAGGGCACCTGATAAGGCTCCATCAGGGTTCCAGGATGGTCATGGACACAGGAAAACACAAATCATGGATAAATGCAGAGGAGGCTGTGCAGGATGAACCACTTTCTCCATCTCAAACCAGTCAGGCAGCCTTGGCTGGTCCTACAAACCCTCCTGTGAGCTACACTTTGGCACAAGCCCTTAGAGGCTTTGGCTAGATTGCAAAACACAGCAGGGGTCTGCCAAAACATTTTTAAGATTAAACAATCACACACTGACTGCATTGGAATTTTAAGACCAAGCACCTGAACACCAAGGACTCCGTCAGCCACCAGTATTTGGGAGGTCAGCTGTACTGCAAAGTACTTGGAGTTTCAAAGCTGAGTGAACTGGGATAATCTACACAAAGAAACCCAAACAAATTGCCAAACCACCCTCAGGACTCCAGGGAGCATCTTTGGGTGCACTTTTACTTCCAGAGCCTGTGAGCAACCCGTGCTCCCATCATTAGGAGAAAGTTCTTCCCTTCACTGCATAGAGATTGCAAAGCAAAAAGGACAAAGCCATCCCTGACATGGAATGTAATCTAAAGAGATAAAATTAGCAACACAGCAAAGTCTGCTTCTGACTCCTCTGCCAGGACAGATATGCACATTACCTCAAATACCAGCTAGTCCAAACCCTACAAGCTCAAACAGGAATGGGCAAAAGAAGGTTTAACAACCCAAAAATCAGTAACCATTTCTTAATTAAGAAATGACAAATTTTTCTTTACCTACTATGAAACACGGAGATATTATTTAAGGATTGAAGTAACTCTCATAATTGAAGGAAAGGGAAGGAAAAGTCTGCTTCAACTACCATGGTATGGGGGAGGCTTTCAGTGAGAACAAGAAAAGGTCTGGGTTTGGGTTTAGGGTTTCTTAAGGACTGCCTAATCAAGTTGCTTTTATTCTAAGGTTTTGCTGCAGGACAGCATGTTTAAGTACATCATCTTGTTCCTTCTGTCTGGAACCACCTGTAACAAGTAAGCAGGTGCTGCTGCCACGAAGAGCTTTTGCAATTTCCTCCCCTAAGCAGCTCCGGCCTTCACCTGATGTTTGGAATCAGGTGAGAATACAACACACTAGTTCAAGGACTGAGTTGTAACAGGAAAAAAATACTTGAAATACATTTTCAAAATATTGTGGAATACCGACTTTATGGTGTAGTGGCCACTGCCTCCCTGTCACACCTAAGACTTGGCAGCAGAACTGCTCCTGCTGCTCTGTGGGAACAAATCTAAGATGCTCTTAGAAATGTGAGAACCAGAAAAAAAAAACAAAACAAGAAAGAGATGCTGGGAAAAAGTGATTTACTGACCGAGTTTTCCCCAGAAGACAGAGTCCAAGACACCATGCAAATAGATACTGGTTGCTGCTCCCTCCAGGCACTGCTATCACTGCACCAGTCAGCCCCCGAGCAAGCTGTGACATTCAGCACTGCACAGGCAGCTCCACCTCCACGGCTTACAAGAAAACAAGGGAACTTTTATATGCATCTTGTAAAGGTTTCTCACAAAGCTTACATGAACAATCACTGCAGAATAAGGCTGACACAGGATAAAGCATTGCTCAACCACTGAGCTTCTCCACCAAGTCCCTGGGCACAAATCTGCTAATCTCAATGCTTCAGTTTCCCCACATCCAGACAAGAGCTTCTCACTAAGTTTGAACAGCTAAGGTGAAATATTTTTCTCTAAGTCTTCTTTTCTATCAGAAGTGACTCAAGCCCTTGAATACACATCACAGGGTTTATTATGGGTAAAGAACTCCTGATTAGGGAAAAATTACAAGTAAAACTGAAGGTTTTGAAAGGGGCCTGTCATTCCAAGCAACAATTTAACATAGAGGAACTTTGGACCTAAGTTGGCAGCCACAGACTGCCAGTCCTTCATAGAGCTCAGAGCAAAGTCAGGGCATTTCACCTCCTCTTGGCATCACAGACATGGACTTCTTACCTCACTGGTTCTAGCTCTGCTGAGTAATGCCTTCAAGTACATCAGCTTCCAAAGGAGAAAAAAAAACAGATACCCGCTCCAAACAAATCAGCTCCTGAGCGAGTGAATGCTCACCTGGGACAGGAGGTGACAAAGCAAAGGCCAAAAGCTCAGTCACACACACTCTGGCAGCAGCCCAGAGGATGAAGCTGCTGGTTATTTTTAGGATGGATGGAAAAGAAGATCTCTTCTGTACGCACCCATGCGTTACTTGTTATTTCATTTTAAAACACACCCAAGTACTTCAGAGTACTCCGGCTTCCACAAATACACCACAAGAACATCACAAAGAATCTTAAAAAGGAGAACGCTATTTGCCACCCTACACGCCCCACACAGCGATGCACTTCAGCCTCCTCAGGTCTCAAGCGCGCAGTGCCTTCGCCACGGGTTTACCTTCCGCACCAACACCAGGAGGAAACCCGAGAGGGTGTTCCCCAGCCCCTAAACTACACCCTGCGTGTCCAAGACAGCCTGTTGGATTTCCAAGGGCGGCACCGATGCTCCTCAAAGGGCTCTCTGTGGAGCTGGTTTTGCTGAGCCGCCGGGCCAGCACGGCTCACATGCCACCTCCCCAGCCGCCTCCTTCCGAGCCCCGCCGCCGGGAGCAGCGGCGTTCCCCCGCATGCCGCGGGGCAGGGGCAGCTTTGGGGCGGCCGCCCCGAGCCCGGGCGCGCCCGTGCCTGCGAGAGCCGCACGCCGCCCGTACGGAGCGCTCGGGGCAGGGGCGCCCAGGGACCCCCGGCCCGCCCACCCCCCGCCTCGAGGGAGGCTCCCGGCCCGGGAGCAGCCCCGTGGTACTCACGGGCTCCGTCCGGCCCCGGGTAGCTCAGCACCAGCACGGGCAGCGCGGCCCCGCCGCGGGGCGCCGGGGGTCTCCACAGCCCGGGCGGCGCGGCCGCGGCGCCGCCTCCATGGCCGGGGTAGAGGAGGAAGAACGGCGGCGAGGCAGGGCGCGCCTCCTCCTCCTCCTCCGCCGCTGCCGCCGCCTCCCCGGGCTCGGGCCGCCGCTCCATGCCGGGGGACAGCTCCGCTTCGGCCCCGTCCCGGGAACTTTCCGCCGGCGGCGGCGGCAGCGCTGCCCGCTCCG